CAATGTTTGCAAAATTGTTTGTCAGGAACACAGATCTACATTCCTGACCCTATAGTGTTAAAACCACCATTTAGGTGGCTTGCCCACCTTGTCTCCCGGCCCAACAACATTTCTCCCCCTCTACCCTAAACGCTGGCTTGACCAATCAGCATCTCGTCATAGAGATGCATTGAAAAGGCAGTGTTTACAGCAAGAGGTCTGCAGGGACAGGTTATACTCACCAGAGCAACTACATTAAGCAGGAGTTGTTCTGATTACTACAGTGTCCCTTTAAAGAGCACACTCTTCACATATAAATTAGTTCAGCAAGCTAATGCTTTAGGTGTCTCAAGTATTCCTTGAAAGGAAAACAATGAAAGTGTATGCAGTCAGAATATAGACAAATAGTGATTTGTCATGTGCATGTTTGTCCAAAATCAGGAAAGGAAGGAGGAGGGGGGAGGAGGGAACATACATTATCACAGATACATAAAACAATACGGTTTGCTATCAAAAACATGCCTCATAGGTTCATACAATCTAAATGTACCTTTTTCATGTTTGTTCCTATGTAACTTTTAGCTTCTTCTTTGAATTGCGGTAGCCTGAAACAGAAAGTGGAAATAATGTTGAAGTGGGTTAAATGTTTCAGCATTCTCTAGAACCCCACACTAAGTCTCAGACTTCGCTTGTGGGCTGTTACTTCAAATGTGGAAATCTCACTCATTATATACTCAAATGAATTAGGGAAGCATTATGTGTGAAGAAGGGAATACTAGATTCCACTCGTGTTAGTTTGACATTTTGCACCGGTGAGAACGCCACTTAATAATGCGTTCGATCTTGTGGTCATGGCACATGGATAATTGAGTTTTTGGTGGATGAGTGTAGTACAGTATGCAATTTACCTTACTAGATAATCAGATTACACAGCTTCTGTTTAAAGTAACTTTCACTACAGGCAACCTCATTTCCAAATTATGCACCCAATACAAATTAATTTATATCCTTTTTAGTGGTCAGCATTATTTTGCTCACCTATCATTTTTAGCAATCTTGTTAAGTAGACTAGATCTTTGTTGAGAGCAGCTGTTATTATGCGGATTACTTTATTTTAAAGTTAGTTTGTTTTTCAGTATTGTACTTTATCCAAATGAGCTTTGCTTGGCAGGCGTCAGAGGATCTTTGTGCAACATTATGGTTAATTAAAGGGAATGTAGTGTAAGGAATACAAATCTGTATTACTAACTGTGATGAGACCAATCTCGCCACTGTGCATTGGAGAAGCACAGACACGAAAGCCGGGTCATTCGGTACTTGCCCTATTTGAATATTGATACCCCAGATCACTATATGCCATGGAGCCCATTCGTATAACGAAAGATTATGTGAAAGACTTTGGCTCCATGGCAATTGAACTGTATGTATGTAATCTGAGCGCCATTCAGTAATAATGTGCGCTCAGATCTAAGCTATCTGGGGATATGTTAAATGTACCTGTTTTATGCAATAGCTGCACAGTTATATATTTTTATGTATTTTATTGTCTTTTGCTACCATGTGTTCAATGGAGTTTTGCCTCTGTCCTTGGAGATTATTGGATTACTTCCCAATTATCTCCAGGATAGAAGACTCTATGGAACAGGTTTTGGGACGAAAAGCCATGCTTCATTTGTTCACAAAGGACTTCAATCTATCTTTTGACCCACTGGACTAATTTGTGTGATTTTGACGTATGTTTGTATTTGGAGTATGCGGATTCTGAAAATGTAAGTTTTATGGGAATGTAATGCATACTTTTAAAGTTATGAATAATGTGGAAAAACTGTGTTTCTCTGCCTGTGATAATTACATTAACCCATTGTGTAAGGTAATTGTATCACAGGCAGAGGGGAGGATTTTGTGTGGGAGTGTCTGAGTGTATTGTATGTGTTTATTGGTTGTTTTACAAAACCCTGTGGGTGGTACTAACGTGTAAGAATGTGTATATAAGAACAATAAACCCACAGTTCTGTCTATTCCTGTTTTGACCCTCAACACAGAGCCTTGTCTCGTTCTTCGGGGGATTTATTGTATGCTGTTTCAGTTCGACTGCTAAGAGTGTAAACCTTTCGTATGGTTTTTCCTATTCGACTGTTTACGGCATTCGTATGTTTGAGAGCATTCCTATGCTTCTCCGGTTCGGTGGATTGGTGTCTTTGGTAGCTGCCTGTGTATCTGGAAGGGGAATATCCTCTAAATGGCGGTTTAACCCCTTTTATGCCTGGGGGTGCCATTACACTAACAATATAGTGCCCTCTGGTCACCCCCCACCTCCCTCACAGTGCCCTCTCCGGCAGATAAAGGGTAAAGTAAATAAGGGTCCTCATGCAAAGCGTGAGGATGTCCGGTGTCATTTAACCCCTGTGACCAGACAGTTTTTTAATTTTTCTTACCGTTAAGGACCAGGGCTCTTTTTACATTTCTGCGGTGTTTGTGTTTAGCTGTAATTTTCCTTTTACTCATTTACTGTACCCACACATATTATATACCGTTTTTCTCACCATTAAATGGTCTTTCTAAAGATACCATTATTTTCATCATATCATAATTTACTATAAATTATCTTTATAAAATATGATGAAAAAAATAAACCACACTTTTTTGAACTTTGACCCCCAAAATCTGTTATGCACCTACAACCGCCAAAAAACACCTTGGCCAAATAGTTTCTAAATTTTGTCCTAAGTTTAGAAATGCCTAATGTTAAAAGGTTCTTGGCTTTTTTTTTGCAAAGTTATAGGGCTACAAGTACAATTAGCACGTTGCTATTTCCAAACCATCTTTTTTTTAAATTAAAGCAAGTTACACTGTAACACCGATATCTGTCAGGAATCCCTGAATAACCCTACACATGTATATATTTTTAAAAGAAGGTATTAAACTTGGGGTATGTTGACGCTTTTCATGCAACCATTTTACCACCAATCTATGCCAAATTTAAACAAAACCAAAAAAAGGGCGATTTTTTTTTTGACACACATAGCAATTTAAGAATACCTGTTCGGAGAACTTTAAGGGTTACTGCCAAAGAACACGCCAATAGGTGTTCAGCAACATCTCCCGAGCATCTCCCGAGTACAGTGATACCAGCCATGTATAGGTGTGTCAGGTTCTCTGGGGGCTAAAAAGACCCTATGTGGAGGGTGCGCATTCCAGTTTTCCAACTTGGAATTTTCTCAGCTGGTCATCACGCACCCATGTCCTATTTGGGACATTTTTGAAGCCGGCCAATGTAATTTACCCCTATAAAACCATATATTTTTTAAAAGTAGCCACCCCAGGGTATTTCAAATGGTGGTATTTTAACACTTTCCATGCACTAATTATACCACTATTCTTTGGGTAGTTTTTTTTGTTATGTTTCTCTCACATTGTACTTTAGGAATGGATTCTCAGTTCTTGTTATGTGTTACTGACAAAGAAACCCCCAATATGTGTTCAGCAACATCTCCCGAGTACAACAGTGCCTCCAATGTATAGGTTTTATGGGCTTTTGCAAACTTATAGGGGTCAAATATAGGGCTTGCCCGATTCAGTTTGCTAGACTGGTTTGCTGGGCCTGTGTTGCCTTTTGAGACCATATGGTAGCCCAGCGCTCAAATTTACCGCGGACATATCAGGTATGTCAACGGTCCTTAAGGACCGTTTTTTGTCGGACATACCTGATATATCCGTGGTCCTTAAGGGGTTAAGGGACCCAATCAGGTAAACACCCAGACGCGCCTCTAGTGGCTAACTGGTAGACGGCCACTGGAGGCTGTCTTAGCACTGCAAATGTAAACATTGCAGTTTCTCTGGAACTGCAATGTTTTACATTGCAGGACTAAAGGGGACCGAGACATTGCACCCAAACCACTTCAACGCGCTGAAGTGGTCTGGTTGCTTAAAGTGTCCCTTTACTCAAGGTTTAAACCTTGAATTACCACATCAGTTAATCAGCTCTGTAAAGAACGCAAAATTGATTGAAAACCCTGGTTTATAATACACTGTTGTAGTTCACGCAAAAAATGGGCTTCATCTTCTAATAACTTATAATCAGGCCCGGACTGGCCATCGGGCACAGAGGGCAAATGCCCGGTGGGCCGCGGTGGCCATGGGCCGAGGCCGGCAGGGGAGGTCCCAAGATCTCCCTGTCTGGTCTATGCAGGGCCGGCACTCTCCTAACGCCGGCCCCGCTGTTAGCCACGACGGGCCGGTGGGGAGATCAAAGATCTCCCTGACCGGCCCACATGCGGCCGCCGGCGGGGAGGGAGGGAGACAGCCACCAGGAGAGAGGACCCGGCGGAGCTCTAACTTGCAGCTCCGCCGGGTTCCTCTCGCGAGATCTGGCGCGTTGCCATGGCAACAACCGGATCTCGCGAGAGTGAACTCTAGCCTCACAGGCTAGACTTCACTCACCCACGAGGACCACCAGGGAACACCGCCTCCCAGCGTGCCGGACCCCCCCTCCCTTCCAGGCTAAAGGTAAGAAGGGAGGGGGGGGACATAGTGTCTGTTTTTATTTTATTTTTTTATTTACCCCCCCTACACACACACACAATAACATTTATACAGCACTCTCACACCCATCACACACAGCACTCTCACACCCATCACACTCACAGCACTCTCTCACACAGCACTTTCACACACAGCACTCTCTCACAGAGCACTCTCACACCCATCACACTCACAGCACTCTCTCACAGAGCACTCTCACACCCATCACACACAGCACTCTCACAGAGCACTCTCACACACACACAGCACTCTCTCACACAGCACTCTCACACCCATCACACTCACAGCACTCTCACAGCACTCTCACACACACACAGCACTCTCTCACACAGCACTCTCACACCCATCTCACACAGGGCACTCTCACACCCATCACTCACACCGCACCCTCACACACACACATACTGCACCCCTCACATACACACAGAACCCCCCCAACACACTGCACCACACACATACACAATACTTCCAAATATATATATGTGTGTGTGTGTGTGTGTGTGTATATATATATATATATACACACACACACACACACACACACACACACACACACACACACAACACTCTTAAAGGACCACTCTAGCCACCCAGAACACTTCAGCTTAATGAAGTGGTCTTGGTGCTAGGTCCTTCTAGGGTTAACCCATTGTTTTATAAACATAGCAGTTTCAGAGAAACTGCTATGTTTATCAATGGGTTAAGCCTTCCCCCAAAGCCTCTAGCAGCTGTCTCATTGACCGCCGCTAGAGGCGCTTGCGTTATAAAAGCTTTCCTATGCGACCGGCTGAATGCGAGCACAGCTCTTGCTGCGCGTGCGCATTCAGCCGACGGGGCGGATCGGAGGAGGAGAGCTCCCCGCCTGGTGCTGGAAAAAGGTACGTTTTAACCCCTTTCCAGAGCCGGGCGGGAGGGGGTCCCTGAGCCACATATGCATCACATTACACCACAAACACAACACGACTAAAACCGACCTTATTACACAATACCACACCACGACCAGCTCACTCTACACACACGCAATACCACAAGCAGGCTCCAAACACATGCACAATACTCTTTCCTGGCCTTTTGTCTCCTGGTATCCATTTATAGAGACACCAGAGACAAGTTGCAAGGAAACACAGTGCAAGCATGTTATTAAATTTGCTTGCACTGTGCAGAACAAATACAGGACTTTTTTCTCATGCTAGAGCTCTTCAGCAGAGCTCTGCGCATGGTCTGCCCTGGAAGAGCATTGAACCAACATGCTCACTTTGAGAGGAGGCGTGTTTGTCATTGGTGATGACAAAACACACCTCCTCTGCCCCGCCCCCTTTTTAGTGGGCCGCTGTGTTAAAAAAATGCCCGGGCCGAATTTTTCTCCCAGTCCGGCCCTGCTTATAATTGATCATCTATTACAGATAAACATATTCAAACATATTCTGCTTAGACAGAAATTCCAGGCATGTCTATACATAGTCAGTTTTTACTTTGTTGTCATGGCATAGGTACAAGGTAAAAAAGAAAATACACTTTATATAGCACCTACATGTTCTGCAGACATGTAGAAATGGCAACAAAGCTAAATTACAGAGACTAGTTCCCTATTAAAACAATATCCCAATATAGAAATAAAAGTAGCTTAACAGTTTGAACAAAACAGAGACTTAAATGCAACTTTATTGCATGCAACATACAATTTCCTCAGGGAAGTAACACTTTGATACTAGACTCATCTGTGTAAAGACATGTCCCAATTGTTCATTTCAGATAAAAAAAATAAAAAAATTCTAACAAACAGAATGCTAATTAAATGGATGCTCTAAACACCAAAGCATTTCAGCTTAATTAAGCAGTTTTGTTTCTATTTATGCAGCCCTAGCCACACCTCTAAAGACTGTGACTTACAAAGCCATCATGGATAAAAAAAAAAAAAAATAGTTTAAGTTTCAATCAGAACTTACTGCACAGAGAAGGCTTCTAATAGCAAGAAATAAAATGTTAAACTAAATTTAAAGAAAGTTTGAAAATCAGATCTCTTTACAGGAAGTGTCTAGGGAAGTGGTGTAAGTCTTTGCCAGTGTAGGTGTGGCTAATAACAGTTCTCATGTGTCTATATTCAACTGTAATTTAATATTTTTGGTTCTTCTACGTTTGTGCTAGTATGTTTTTCTTAACATGTGTAGAGGAACATAAGTTGAATCTTTATAAACAATTATTATGCACAAATTACAGTGCACAAACCCTATTTGCATGTATTTATATATGTAAAGAACAACATTTCTGTTTTTTTTTCTCATTTAGGTTTAGAGAAGGCGATAACTGCAAACTTTAGAGCATTATTGAGACTAATTAAAAAGTAATTGAAGAGAATTTTAAAAAAATGGAATATCAGATTTCACTCGTGTTAGTTTGGCATTTTGCACCGGTGAGAACGCCACTTAAATTATGAGTTGGATCTTGTGGTCGTGACACATAGAGATAATTGAGTTTTGAAGGTCAGTATTTTGCAGTTGCAATTTAGAATTTTCACCTGCCTGATGTGTAATCCAATGACATATCATTAAAGCAAAACATGAATTTCTGAATGCCAGATCGAGATGTTTGTTTTCAGTTCATCAGCTTCTATCACACAGAAATTCTAGAGGTTCTTAACCTCTTTAAGAACAGCTAAAACAAGGTGGGCCTGCACTCATAAGCAAGAACACATGGTACCTAAAAAAGCCATCAGAAAAATATTAACACAATGAAATTATAAAGGTGGAAAAGAGAAGAGGTTTTAAAGGTAAGAATAACTTAGAGGACTTGAAATAATGCAAAAAAACTAAATACAAAAACCAAAAACCAATATAAAATTAAGAGATAACCGATAACCTAGAATTTGGAAATACATTTTACATAGACCACTGCAGCCTAACTATATATACTATTGTTCTTGTCCAAAACTTTGCTGTCATGACTAATGCAAGGGGTTTTGGCTACAAAGACTAGAATGCCATTTGCCTCCTTCAAAAATGAGTCTTTGCCTCGGTAGACCTGTGAGTATCTGCCTCAAGGGGGTTTAATCAAAGTCTGTACAGATTTCTAAACAGTGATTGGATGAATTCTGGCCAAAACATATTTAGGGATGTTATATTTAATATGTGGGTTAACATCTTCTTGATCCTAGGAGAGATCTGACTACAATGCTGGAAAAAAAAAAAACCCTAGTGTGTTGCAAAATTGGAAAGAGCTTCAAATGTTTTTTTGGGAGTTTTTTTTGCCTTCTTTTTTAGTAACAGCAGAATTATATTCTATATATAGATATATACATAGATAGTGTGGGTAGACTGAACACCATCATACACACAGTTAGGGATCAACCAATTCTAGCGTTTTGGCAAATATCGGTATCTGCTCATAATGATACTAATATTGCACATAATGGGGGAAGAGGCACAGTGTACAATACCTTCAGCTGGGTTCCCAGCTGCCCCCAATTCAATGTGAAACCCCCTGGTAGTCTGCACAAAGCAACTGGACCACCGGGGAGTGCAATGTCGTCATCCCCAGCCACAGATAAAAGGCAGGGAAGGGGGAATAATATTATAAAACAAAAATTCATAAATAATAAAATATAGTGGAGCGCTATCTTTCCAAAAAAGTGCCAATGTGATAGGGATATCAAAGAAGGAATAACTCACTTGGCGTTTTACTTATGTACCTTTACAAATACAAACGTAGAAAAATAGTGTAAAATCCTTAGGATAATATTATTTAAAAAGGTCTCATTTTCCAGAGCTACAAAAACCTGCCTCTGGTTTGTAGAGACTTTTGGTTTGCTAAGGCACTCAACTCTCTTGCAGGTCAAATAAGATAGTATCCTTTTCTTTCCAAAAACGCTTAGTGAACAATCTCAGAGGACAAGAAAATGTGCGTATGGTGTATTAAAGCTTTAAGAGTATACACAATGTATAATGAAGATATTATACTCCCAAATCTAGAGCCTATCAATTGACTCAATGTACTGTTTTGGGGCTTGGCTAAATATATTTGATATATACACACACAACTGTTATTGCACTATTTCCTTGTTATGTTTATTGTTTTTATATCATACAGTATATATTTTTTGAACTACTGGCAAATTGAAAGAAGATGGCATTTTCGTGAACCATACAGAGCTGTTACATTGAGCCAATTGATAGGGTCTAGATTCGAGAGTATAATACCTTCATTATACATTGTGTATACTCTTAAAGCTGTCTTACACCATATGCAGAATTATTTTCTCAGATTATTCACTAAGCGATTTGGGAAAGAAAAGGATATTACCCTCATTTGACCTGCAAGAGATGGGAGTGGTTACCCTAATACAAAAATAGGTAACTTTCGGAACTCCAGATGTTGTGGACTACATCCCCTATAATGCTCTAACACCCTTAATGCGGGCAAAGCATTACAGGAGGTGTAGTTCAAAATATCTGGAGTGTCGAAGGTTGCCCTAATATATGTGTGTGTGATAGATATATATATTAATTAATGTACATAACATATATAATATGCCGGAGTGCATATGGGATCTTGTAAATGCGAGAAAATTATAGACTGGTGGGACAAGTTTGTGTTAATTATGTAAAACACTGTTTCTTACCTGTAACTTTATCTCTAAATAATACATTATTTTTTTTAAGTTTTCCTGTCCACCTAAAGTTTCCCCGCTCCCTTCCTCCCCCGTTTTTGTTTCCATTTAATAGTTGATAATGGATATGCATACTGAAACTAAAAATACATTCAACTCCTCCACTGACAATGTCATTAATGTTTTTCTGGGCTGGCTAATGTTAAATCTGTGAAGTTCTAAGTCCTCCCTCAGCTCATCTTTAGGGGACTTCAGTTCCTGTGCAGTTAAGGGGAATGTTGACACCGGAGGAGGATTGGGCTGCAGGGAGAACCTGGCATAGGCACGGCATCTAAGGTAAATTTGTTGTATATTAATTTTAAGAGGTGAGAAAGTTTACTCCATCCAAAAAACACTGTTTTAATTGCAGTAACCCTTTAATAATTTTAGAGATAAAGCAGTCCTAACATAGTTATTTAACAAACCACCAAATACTAGCCCATAAGCTTGACATTTAGAATGTTTGCCATAGAACCAGTATGTCATTTTTGACAAATTAGCTGTAAAATACTACAAAAATATGTTCATGTGGTTGTCAAATGTCTACTTCTTGATCAGAATTTTAATACAATGCAGTTGATAAAAACAATTAAAATTGCATGTTTATTTTCAATACCCCTTTCTCGAACTGGGAAAAGATTTACCCGCATTCATTTGATCATTACATCCCAATTTGTTACTTATTTGTTAAATCTTTAGAATATGCTTTCTGGCGGATACCCAGAAATAGGATAATGTGTTACATAACAGGTAGCCCTGAATGTTAGGATGTTAAGAAAACACTGAATGGTTTCAAAAATGACAACACAACCTACCAACAGCTCTTGTGCTCTATTGATTAATGTGAGCCTATTTTTAGGTGACAGCGCCGCTTTAAGGAATTCATTACTTCCCACCGACTTCCTACAGACCA